GGAATGGAGAAGGTGGACTTTATATCTGAGTAATTATTGCCTACCTCAGAGATCGCGGAGAATCTGGCCACGCGCCAATATCGACCGTTCGATCTCCCGATCTCAACCGTCGAATATTCAACCTCGACGATTCGACGCGCTGCAGAGCTCGATCGATTGATGCCGTCAGATCGAATTTCTCTCTCTCCATCTGGACTTTCCACCTCACCAAACCTCAACGCGAATCTTCTCGAGGGATGCACCTTGCCCCGGGAAGTTCGACTGCCAAACCATAAAAGTAAATGACAATATTTACTCTGAATCCTGACCGTCCACCTGGACGAGATAATAACAGATTTATCTCAACACACCAAGTTACGGTTTCGAGGTCGATTCTCGACCACACGATCAACGAACTGTTCACCTTTCCAAGATCTGAACCGTCGATCTCAAATAATTATCTGACTCCATGACGTCAGCATGATCAATCACAATGTCTTTCAAAAGTCACATCTTGCTGCCCATTAAAGCTCGAGCTCGCTCTCATTAATGGGGGGGGGGGGGGGGGGGGGGCAATTGTTGGAGCTGGATTTAGCATCCTAAATCTGGCCCACTCAAGCCCAACAGGCAGATCCAAACTAAGCCAATTTGACTGGGCTTTGACCCTACGGCCCAGGCCCACTCACTCTCGACGATCCAATCCTGAACGGCAGAACATTCCATTCGACGAGGTCGAGCTCCAGCTCGACCAAATTCCAAGAAACAAGGAAGGATCTGAGCCAAGTCAGAGCATATTCTCGCCAGTTCAAACGAGTCTGAAGATCGCGGAGGAAGTTGCTGCACGTGGCGAGATTTCCGGCTGAAGCTGCTGTACGTGGCCGAAATACGCGCTGGAGTTCGAAGTTCGACGAGGCGAGCTATATAAAGGAAGGGAACGGCTTAGTTTAAGGGACTTCTTTTCGGCTTGATCTTTTCTTATACCTGAAAACTCTGTAACTACTCCCAGAACTCTTTTCAGTCCATCTTCTTCATCGAAATCTTTGTAACCGTTTCATTCAACCGATTAATATCAAATCCTTATTTTAGTTAGTGCTTGGTTATACAGTCAATTTGCTCGAGAGAATCTAGCCTTTAATCTTCTAAAATTATTTTTTTTATAAAAACACATAAATTTCTGAATGTGGATTTTTGTATCCACAATCTTTAAGATTTAGAATTGTCAAATCGCTCCTTAAACCTTGCCAATTCTAATACCAAAGCTTCATTAGACTTTTGGTGGTTTTAGGAAACCACCAATCCTTTATCTTCAGCTGGATGATGAGAGTGCGGTTTAGTAACAAGTCTTTGGGGTCAGTCACATTTTTCTTTACTTTTAACTTTTTAAATTATTTTGTTATTAATTAAAATATATTTTCTTTGTTTAATAACTTTAAAAAAATCTTCAAAATAATTTATATTATAAAACCGATGGAGTATTTAAGCCCTTAGAAAGTTCGCATTTTTTCGAAGGAGCTTCTACTCTTTAAATCGATCACAAAACCTAAAAAGTAGTATAAACAAACGGAACATAACAGAACCTCCCGAGAGTCGGCAAGAACATTTAGATGAAACATCAGATTCAGACCAGCAATTTATTAGGTTTCTTATTTCTCTTCCAAGTCAATCGTTGAAACTCTAAGAACATTAAGTGGACGCTTTGTCCAAACTTTTTTCAGCCGTAGAGCTTCGTGCTGGTTAGGATCCTAAACCCTTAGCCATATCAAAGCAGCCTCATCATAATCAACCTTTTCTGTCAAATTATATTCTCGAATGAAGAGGGTTCACTTAATCCTACACAGAACCTACTGCACAGCAACAACAAGCAATTGCAGTTCTCAAATCTCTCAACTATCAAAGCTCGGCCAAATCAATGAAGCTAGGAAGATCTTCGATTCGTTACATTTCAAAGCAATCGGTTCATGGAACTCCATCGTCTCTGGGTACTTTACAAACAACATGCCAAGAGAAGCACGCCATCTGTTCGACAAAATGCCCGAGAGAAACATTGTTTCTTGGAACGGGTTGGTTTCAGGGTATATCAAGAACAGGATGGTTAACGAAGCCAGGAACGCGTTTGAGATGATGCCGGAGAAGAATGTCGTCTCGTGGACCGCGATGGTTAAAGGTTATGTGCAAGAAGGTATGGTTTCTGAAGCGGAATCGTTGTTTTGGGAAATGCCGGTGAAGAACGAGGTTACTTGGACTGTGATGATTAGTGGTTTGATTGACGACGGGCGTATCGACGATGCGCGTAAGCTGTATGATGCAATGCCTGTGAAAGATGTTGTAGCGAGTACCAATATGATTGGTGGGTTGTGTAAAGAAGGGAGAGTAGATGAAGCAAGGACGATTTTCGACGAGATGAGAGATAGAAATGTGATTACTTGGACCACGATGATTACAGGTTACGGGCAGAGTAATCGGGTTGATGTTGCTAGGAAGCTGTTTGAAGTGATGCCGGAGAAAACCGAAGTTTCTTGGACTTCCATGCTTTCGGGGTATACACTAAGTGGGAGGATGGAGGACGCCGAGTTGTTCTTTGATGCTATGCCTATGAAGCCAGTTATCGCGTGTAATGCTATAATTGTTGGGTTGGGGGAGAAAGGAGAAATAGCGAAAGCAAGAAGCGTTTTCGATCAGATGAAAGACAGAGATAACGCGACTTGGAGAGGAATTATCAAAGCTTACGAAAGAAACGGTTTTGAATTGGAGGCTATTGATTTGTTCTGTGAAATGCAGAGAGATGGAGTCAGACCGGGTTTCCCGTCTTTGATCAGCGTTCTTTCGGTCTGTGGCGCCTTATCAAGCCTCGAATATGGTAGACAGGTCCATGGTCACTTGGTGAGATGTCAGTTTGATGTTGATGTGTACGTTGCCTCTGTTTTGATGACGATGTATGTCAAATGTGGAGAGCTTGTGAAGGCAAAGCTAGTGTTCGATAGGTTTCCTTCAAAGGACATTATCATGTGGAACTCCATCATCTCTGGCTATGCGTCTCACGGTTTAGGAGAGGAAGCTCTTGAGGTTTTCAATGAGATGCCAAAGTCTGGTACAATGCCAAACAAAGTCACCGTAATTGCGATTCTCACAGCGTGTAGCTACGCCGGAAAAGTGGAGGAAGGGCTTGAGATATTTGAATCGATGGAGTCGAGGTTTCGTGTGAAGCCATCGGTTGAGCATTATTCTTGCACCGTGGATATGCTTGGTCGTGCGGGACGGATAGACGAAGCCGTGAGACTGATCGAGAGTATGACTATAAAGCCAGACGCTACAGTTTGGGGAGCTCTGTTAGGAGCTTGTAGAACTCACTCGCGGATAGATTTAGCTGAGGTTGCTGCAAAGAAGCTTTTCGAGATAGAACCCGAAAACGCGGGTCCGTATGTTTTGTTATCAAGCATAAACGCATCTCGTGCTAAGTGGGGAGATGTTGCGGAACTGAGAAGAAACATGAGGACAAAGAATGTTAGTAAGTTCCCTGGTTGTAGCTGGATTGAAGTAGACAAGAAAACGCACCATTTCACTCGTGGAGGTGTCAGAAACCATCCCGAGAAAGCGATGATTATGATGATGTTGGAGAAAACAGATGGTTTATTGAGAGAAGCTGGTTATAGTCCTGATTGTAGTCATGTGTTGCATGATGTGGACGAGGAAGAGAAAGTGGATAACTTGAGATGTCACAGCGAGAGACTCGCTGTGGCTTATGGACTCTTGAAGCTACCTGAAGGAGTACCGATTCGGGTTATTAAAAACCTTAGAGTCTGTGGAGATTGCCATGTTGCCATTAAACTGATATCTAAAGTGACAGAGAGAGAGATCATTCTAAGAGATGCAAACAGGTTTCATCATTTCAAGAACGGAGAGTGTTCTTGTAGAGATTATTGGTGAGAGTGTGACCGGTCAGTACATACCTTCAGTTTTGACTCAATTTGGTTATCTAGGTTCAAGTTCTATTGGTTTAATTGAGATCTCGAGGTACTAAAAGTCTAGAATGTTGCAGGCAATGATGTTTCACGCATATTAATGCAAGTTACAGGCAACAAACGCCACTTGAATCATTCAATTTATCATCTTTGCAATTATTTATTTCTCTTATTCTATAATTTGTTCTTATTATCTTCTTTGGGAAGTGACCTACCACTTTTGTTTCTTTGGCTTTTATAATACCAATAAAGAATATTAAACGTATGTACGTTCCATGTCTCTCTTGTTTTTTTCTGTGATTTCATCAAACTTCCGTCCATAGTGGAAAATGATTAAAGTTAGGTTTCAATTGATTGGATAAGGACAAAGACTGGTGGTTGAGTCACATTTCCTCTCTCTCAGATTTTACAAGCAATCGATTTCAGTCGAAGAACACAAAAAGCTTCTCATTTTGTTCCTCGTCTCTAATTTCGATATCTGTTTTCTCTGAGGTAAAAAGTTACGATTTTCATGTTTTTGATCATTATCATCGTATCTTCTGAACTGGGTTTGATCCAGATTTATTCTCTTCTGAATTGACTCAATTGGGTTTAGAAAAAAATTCTGCAATTGGGTTTCTTATCTGCTGTGATTTTGATGATCAGGCCTCTGATAGTTTTGCCCTTTTCATCGTATGAATCAGTTGGGTTCGTTCGCTACAAACCGAAATTAGAAAAAGCTGCCAACTTTATATTTCATGTTGAAAAAGTCATAACTTTAAGTTAAACTTGTTGAGATCTAGAATTGAGTATTGTCTGATACCTAACTGATTGTCCCAAATCTGGTTAGTCTTTTAAGATTGTTGATTAAGAGTCAGTGTCAGTGTTCTGTTTCCAGTTTCTCTAAAAGCTGCCAACTTTATGTTGAAAAAGTCATAACCTTTATGTTGGTAACGAGTTGAGATTTAGCATTGAGTGTTGTCTGATACCTAACTGATTGTTCCAAATCTGGTTGGTCTTTTTAGATTGTTCAGTGTCAGAGTTCTGTTTCTAGTTTCTCCAACAAGTTTTGTTTTTTTTCAGTTGTATTGATGGGCTCTGAAGGACCAACGGCTGTGACAATTAACATCACAGGCTTCAAGAAGTTCCATGGAGTTGCAGAAAACCCAACGGAGAAAATAGCAACTAACCTGAAAGAGTATTTAGTCAAGAACAGTCAGTCGAAAGAGATGGTTCTTGGAAGCTGTACTGTGCTTGAGACGGCTGGTCAAGGAGCTCTCGCATCACTTTACCAGTTGCTACAATCCGCGGTTAACACGGAAGAGTCAGAGTCATTGCCCTCTGGAAAAACTATTTGGGTTAGTTAGTTAGTGTTAGTTGAAGCCAAGTGATTGAGTACATGATTTTGATTCTCTATAGTGAAGAAGTTTGCTCTGGTGTTTCTTTAGGTTCACTTTGGAGTTAATAGTGGCGCTACGAAATTCGCAATTGAGAAACAAGCTGTGAATGAAGCGACTTTTCGTTGCCCCGATGAATTGGGATGGAAACCTCAGGTTCTTGCTATTGTTTCACTCTCCTTTGGTCGTTCTTGTTTGATTTCTTGTTTAGTTCTATGAAACATTCTTGTTGGTATGCAGAATTTGCCAATTGTTCCCTCTGATGGTCCAATCTCAACTGTCAGAAAGGTATGTCAACACTCCTCGAGCTTGTGCTTCTTGATCTTGCCATCTGCAGAATTTTCAAATTTGAAGAGTTGTGTATGATTTACAGACTACTCTTCCTGTTGATGAGATAACAAAGGCGTTAGAGAAGAAAGGCTTTGAGGTGATAACATCGGATGATGCAGGCCGATTTGTGTGCAACTATGTGTATTACCACTCTCTGAGATTTGCAGAGCAGAACAAGACCAGTTCGCTCTTTGTCCACGTTCCTCTTTTCGTTGCTGTGGATGAAGAGACGCAGATGAGATTCACGACTTCTCTGCTGGAGGTACTCGCTTCTATTTACAAGTAATGTTATCACACAAATGCTGGCTAATTCTTGTTCATGAAATGTGATTATCATGGACTGATTTGTCTCCCCATCAATAAATAGAAGATAAAAGTTCGCTTCTCTACTTTCTCCTCTACTATATGCATCTTTTCGTTTCTTCTTCGTAAGTGTTTGCTTGATCAAACAATATATGCTTACCTTTCACATGGTGCGGGTATTAACCGAGAACTCGGTAAAGCTGCAATCAATCTGGACTATTACTAATCCGTTTTCACAAAATTTACTTTTTGAGTGGCAAAGGATCCTTTGTTACATATGATACAAACTAGAATTGTCTTCTTTAAGCCGGATGAAGTGTGTATTCTAAAAAAGTTGTAGAATTTCAGGACAATGGCTAACTTTTAGACTAATTTCTTCACTGACATCGAATCTACTCTTACATTATTGTGTTCATACTTGTTCTGAATCTGATTCCAAGTTGGTGAACACCTATGAACACATCTTCTTGTGTTAGCAGCCAGGAAGGAGGCAATAAACAGGTGGAACTGTAATCGTCTGCGTGCTTCCGTACGCGTTCCAGCAGAAAGGGCTTTCTAAAAGCTGGCCTTTTGAGGGAAACAGGTCAATATCCTCTAGTCTCAAGTTAGTACAGGGGAAAGAGTCACTGCAACCAAAATGAATAGGTGGGCTTCTAAGATCATAAGTCCCTTTGATGTTTGCATACAGAACATCGCTGATGATGACCGCGCTGGTTTGGTTGGGACAGTTCTTGGTTTGGCAGTAGTATTGGTCTATCACTAAAGGGTTACGAACGTTCACCATCCAAATGTTTCGGAACACGATTCTTGAAACCAAGCCTGACCCTCCTTGCCATGTTTTGATCCGAAGGCCGTTGTCTGAGTTCCATAATGTTGAATTTGTTACGGTTATGTTCGAGACCCATGCACTTGAGTTGTGGACTCCAAGACTCCCTATGCTGCAACATTAACCCATAAGTTCAAACCAAAAGCAAAAGCCTCACAAAAACTTTGTTAGGAACAGGACTTAAAGAATCTTTAGGCTCCATTCTCATTTCTATGCTTTATCTGGTTAGAGAAACTCTTTAATCTTGAAAAAGAGAGTCTTGTGAGCTCAAAAGGCTGAGAATTTTAGTCTACTCTATAAGAGGCACATAAAGTTTGGCAGAGGAAAAGAAAAATTTAATGAAAATTAGGAAAGAGGTAAAAAGTAAACCTAATCCCATGGCTTGGACCACACGTAATATTCTTAATATCCACATTAAAACAGCCGGCTCCGATTGAAATACAATCATCTCCTGTGAAAATCCGAATCAAAAGAGACATATAAATCTGTTTGGAATCAATAAAGCGTGTTCACTAATAGGGAAATTTACCGTTGGAAATGATGGAATTGAGAATCTGAACATTATGTGTATTCTCAATGTGGATCCCATCAGTGTTGGGACTAGAAGCTGCTGCCTTGATTGTCAGGGAATCTACAACCACATCACTGCAATTGTCAAACCTTACATGGAACTGGCCACTGTTCTTGAAGTTAATCCCTTTGATTCTCACCATTGAGCTCTGAAATATCCTTATCGCCTGAAAATATATTAAAATGACAGTTTGACCAATAGCTCACTAAATTTGACATTTATATGTAAGAAATGTGATTGTGATACAATGACTAACCACAGGACTGTCACAAGGACCGGGTTGAGTCGTTCCATTAAGACCCTTGTGAGGTTTGCAAGGAAGGTCCCACCATTTTTGGCCACGGCCATTGATAAGACCAGAGCCTTGAATTGATAATCCATTCACTCTGTAAAACATTAACCACTGTCTCTTGTAATTCCACGGCCATGACTTTGGTCCATCCGGTGACACAATGGTTCCATCGATCTATGAGGGGAAAAAAAAAATTTCCGTTCATGAAACTTAGAAAAACACAAAATCTATGATTACAAAATGGCAAAAATCGAATATCAAAATCTACGAAAACATTATATACCTTAAAATGTCCAGGTCTTTATAGTTCTGGGAGATTAGTTTGGATTTTGGTCTATGATCTATCTGATTATTAAAGAAGCTTACTTGTAATGTAAGGCGGGTTCTGCAAGGACCATTGAAACTGGTTGGCTTCACCAAGAAACAGAAGGTGTTAGGGACAAGAAGCACGGCTGAATCAACATCAGCGCTCATACATGCCATGTCCCATGCCATATTGAATGCTGAAGTATCGTCCGTTCTGCAATCACCGATGGCTCCAAACGAAGTCACGTCGAAGACGCTTAAGGCATTGTCGGTATCATCATAAGAAACTGGATTTGGAGCTGGTGAGGGGCTTAGATTTATGTTGTGAGTAGTTTGAAACGATGATAATAAGATTAAGAAGTATGCATAAAAGAGTGAAGGGAATGACATTTTTTGTGTGTGAATGTGTTCGGTGGTGAATAATGATGACCAATTTACATTTATATATGTATACACATTACAGAAATACAAAGAGAATAAAATTTTAAAAGAGTAATGGACTTATCCTATGCATATGGTACACTATAGGGTTTAATAGGTTTAGCCAAATTGTCTCACGCGCGAGGAATGAAGTATGTATACTCGGATTAGCAAGAGTTATATATATATACTAGGATTTAGTCCGCTCTACGTGCAGAGTAATTAATTTTATAATTATTAAGATTGAAATTTATGTAAAACTTTAGTTTTCCTAATATATATAATTAATATATTGGCTAAGTATGTTTACTGTCTTATATAATTGTTTGTTCGAGTAAAATGTGGCATTACAACGGAATAGTAATTTGGTTTCATTTCCGTGTGATAACTATTGTATGTTAGTAGTTATGTATTTATAATTATTGGATCATTTGTCGATTATATGTTGTTATAGTTTAGAGCTTAGATTTCATAATATATATAATTAATATATTGACTAAGTATGTTTGTTGTCTGATATAATTGTTTGTTCGAGTACAAAGTAGCATTAAAACGGGATAGTGTTTTGGTTTCATTTGTGATATCTATTCTATGTTATATTACAAAAATGTACAATGTTTTGCTTTCATTTGCATCTGATGTCTATGTTTTTGTTATGTAACATAAGTTATGTATTTATAATTATTGGATAATTTGTCGATTATATATTGTTATTAGTATTTTAAAAATTGAATATTTAAGAAATATGGCAAAACTTATGTTATGATTTTCTCTGATTTTTCACATTTATGTAAAATAAATTTATTTTAGTATAAATGGTCTATATTTTTGTTACAAATATAGAAACTTCAAAGTTATTCTATTTATATATATATATTACATATGAGGGGACTAAATTTTTAAGAAACATGTTAACAGCTCATAGGTTTTTATAATAACTAAATTTTTTTTTGAAATTTGAATCAATCTACTTAAATAAATATTAAAAATATATGATCGAAAATAATGTTATATACTTCATTTTTTTTACTAATATGAAAAAGAGAACATACCAATATTGATGTTTAAATTATGTAATAACGAATATACATAAATTTAACTTCCAATCTGAATAAAAATGTAATTAAAATAAAGAAGCTAAAAATATAAATTAAAATAGCTAATAATAGAAAGTCCATTTACAAATACATAAAAATAAACAATTATACATATCTTTCTCTCGACGCTTCTTTCTGTCGACTCTTCTTCTCTCTCGACTCTTCTTCTCCCAAAACGAAAACTCCTCTCCACTTTGGTCCTCCGATCCGATTTCGGATTCATTTATTCTCACCAAAATCACCATATTCGATGATCGAGAAGTATCTGTAAACTTCCGATGTACCAGTTTTATGTATTTTCTTTCAGTCTTCCTGATCTAATATCATTATCGAAACATCTCGCCGACTTCTCATTCGAGCTTTCATACAACGAAAAAATTCCGATCATTAGGAGGTTCAGACTCATCAGTTGTTCTCGATCTGTTAGATCTGGTAAATTGAAGACCAGTCAACGTAGTATCGACTCACAATTTTCCCGACTGACTATGCGATCTCATGTTCAGACGACAAATATCAAATAAGTACTTACAGATCTTTTTATGCATGTACAATTACTTTATTCATTCGTTGTGATGGTAAGAAATCCATTGATTGTTTGTTTATGTCTCTTACAGGAATGAATCATTTCAAAGCAGAGATGAATGGTTTTTTAACAACAAAATAACTAAGATAAGTCTCCTAATTTTTTAAATTCCCAGTTTTAGTAAATACTTAAAATCATCGAATTGATTTCCAAATGATAATGTTTCAAAATTTGAATTGAAGTTTTCCATAATTAAAAAGTTATGTAATAAATTTTTAGAGCTATCAAATAGCTGTTTCGTAAGTGATCTCAAAAATTTGAATTTAGATTTGTGAATTACAACAAAAGCTGATGAAAAATTAACATGTTTCTTAACAGGATGTTGAAGAAATAAACATTCACTGGCTTGGATGAAATACTGAACATTTGGAAAAAAAGAATACTTCATCCAAGTAGAAGCCACAGAAACAAAATACAGAACATCAGGTTAGTGTCTCTTCATTATTCACTATTTCCATTGATATGAGTTAAAATGAATAATGATTCTTTCTAATTTTTTTCTTTGCTTAATATAGAATGATTGATTGAAAATAGAAAAGTTTATAACTCTATAAAAATAAATATAACTAATCAAATAACAGTAACAGCTAAAAGAAACAAACTCAAAGGTGCAACCAATTACAAATTCTGAAAAAATTCTTTGAAAACAACATTTGTGGTCTGCTTCTGTGGCTTCCCTTCCTTGTCTACTATTATGATTTTCAAACCTTTCTTAGAAGTTACTCTAGCGAGTGCCACATAAAGCTGACCATGAGAAAACACAGACCGAGGAAGAAACATACCAACTTCCTTTAGTGATTGTCCTTGACTCTTGTTAATCGTCATAGCAAAAGCTACAGCCAATGGAAACTGTCTTCTTTTCATTTTAAAAGGCAACTTAAGATTTGATGGAGAAATTACAATCTTAGGAATCAAAACCTTAGAACTGACTCTATCTCCTGTAATAACTCGAGCTTCTAAAACATGATCAGCCATTTGTGTTATCTGTAATCTAGTTCCATTACATAATCCCCCCTTAGGATCTATGTTTCGTAGCAACATTACTGGAACACCTATCTTAAGACGTATAGAATGTTTGGGTAATCCAGGTACCTTTATATTGTGTAAGAAATCAAGAGTGAATATCAGATTGTTACTTGAAACTGTATCCATAGGATCGATACTATCAGCACTTAAATAAACTCTTTCATCACCTGGTACAAATAAAACAATTAATAAGTATAAGGACACATATACTAATAACAACCTCATAATGAATGATAAATATAAGAAATAAGAATATACCTTGAATTTTATCAAGCATAACTTCATTGATCAAATCAACATCGTCATTTGTTGGACATAAGATAGCTCTTTCTTGGAAAAACTTAGGATCATCATTCTGTATCAAAAGATTTGGATCACCATATACTTCATTGCTAATCACTTCTAGGGGATCATTCGCTTCTGTAATAAGTAGTTCTTCAGGAATATCTATTAAAGCTTCACCGTCATTAGGTTTCGAAACTTTCTCATCTCCAACATCTAATAACCATTCTGAGAATTTCTGAATTTCGTTAGCTTCATCACGACTCAGATTACCAGACATTAGCCTCATGTTCTTAGTTAACTTTAGCACCTTGCAATGCTCCCAAATATAAGACGAATTCAACGAAGCCATAACTATCTCCGCTCTCCCTGCACCATTAATTACAGGTAGAACCTGCCTAAAATCTCCTCCAAAAACCATAACTTTGCCAGCAAAAGGGTTGCCATCTACATTTCCAATAATATCAGACAAACTTCGATCCAAGGACTCAAAGCAATACTTGCTCATCATCGGGGCTTCATCCCAGATTATCATTGCTGCTTCTTTAACCATATTAGCAAGATCTGATCCAGCTTTCATTGAACATAACGTAAAATCATCAGGATTAATAGGAATGCCAAACCTTGAGTGAGCTGTTCTACCTCCTTCTAACAACAAAGATGCAATACCGCTAGATGCCATGTTAAGTACAATAGAACCTTTCATTCGAATAGCAGCTGATAAAGTTTTCCACATAAATGTTTTACCTGTTCCTCCAAAACCATAGACAAAGAATATACCTCCTTTTCCACTATAAACAGCACTTGTGATTTGGTCATATATTCCTCTCTGCTCAGACGTTAACATCTTCAACCATTCATCATGTTTCCTCTCTAGATCAATAATGTCGTAAGACATCTCATCAACAATAAAACGATTCGAATGATTGATCCTCTCTCCGGTTGGTTGTGGCATTGATACAAATCGATCGAGAGAAGTTCCCATATTCAACAGTAGTTCATCAATTGCTTGTAGAGTAAAATTTTTCTTGTCAACATCGGTTAAATGAAGATCTGTAAAAATTTAAAGAAAAATTAGACTACAGTACTGTAAAAAACTCCATTTTAATAAATATATCATTGACAGTAAAAACTTATTCTATTACCAGGATTGTTGAACTTAATTCTTTCCTTCCTTTCCATGTCCTCTGATAGAATATGCAATGTCTTCTCCCAAACATCTTCTGGAGTTATTAAGCAATCAGAAGAAAGCATCAACGCAAATAAATTACGGAGATAATCTCCAAAACACCATAAACTTGCAGATATAATACTGTCAATATACATATGATCATCTTCCAAAATACCACGCGCGAAACATGCTTCCTTGTATGTCTTATAAACAACTCCATTGTATTCTCGGATCTCTTCAAAACTTCTAGGACCAGTGACTATATTCAAAAGAACTCGGAGATAGTAATCACTTTCTAATTTCTTCGGAACATAGTTAATCCTCCCAATGCTAAAACCATTTTTCTTTCTACGATTGAATTCCTTGGCTTTACCATCGTATGTATAGTGATTGGGTATCTGTGCAAACGTAAGAGTCCGAGCAAACAAATCCTTATTATTTAGTTCCATCCAAGCCAGAAACTGTGAATACTGTGCTGATTTTCTAGCCAGAACAGATTTAACATCCTCTTTACCATTAAAATAAATCTTGCGCTTCCCTTCTAGATGAAAAGTAAGTTCTCTACAGGAGTAGATCGATAATGAATAGGACATTTTAATATCCTCGAAGCTGCTTCAGATGCTGAAGCATATCTGTAACGCAAAATAATAAATTATATCAGAAATGTTAAACATATAAATAGTAAAAAGTCATACAATCAAGAAAAAAGGAAATTTTGCTGTAACGAAATAAGAGATACCTTCCATCAAAGAAATCTTTAACCTCATTCACTGGCTTCTCTTCATCATTATTAGGTTGAGTAGAACTAAACTGCTTATAACTCTTGCTACCTCGCTCAACAGCAAGCATGATACGATCTTGCCCTTTGTTGATATATTTGAATAAATATTTTATAGAACCTGATTGGTTACACCACTCC